CAAGTTGTCTTAACATGTACATAATTAAGCATGGCAGGTTTCATCCAAGTGCTATTTTCAAGTGTTATGCTTCCATACACAACACTAAACTGTGAGTATTATGTAAACAATCAAATGATATTCAGAGAAAGCAAGCATGTTTAGATCCAAAATGTTTCAATTTTGATGAGCAGCACTCACTAATGAAACCTCTCACAGCAGATAGTAATGTTTTGCTTAAGAATGTTCGCTATCTTCATGTGCAAGAGTAATACACATAACATACCAGCAAATACAGCTATCAAAAAGACTGAGGGAGCAGAGTAAATCATTCATGATCATCTCCAGATATGGTTACTTGCCTGAAATTAAATTAAAGGGAATCATTAATCATGTATTGATCTATATCAAGACTGATTCCATACAGTATGACCTCTTTGCTTATGCTAGGTTTATAGGGTTCGTTAGCCAAAACAAWAAAACTGTATTACAAAAGAATATTCCACTCATACGAACGGGGTCCACACTTCACGCATCAATTAAGCACACGCTAATAAGCAGAGCYTGTCCATTTCCCCCGCGTGGGGACCCTGAAAAACTTCTGGCCTGTACTGTAGCAATGTTTTGCTTAAGAATGTTTGCTATCTTCATGTGCAAGAGTAATACACATAACATACCAGCAAATACAGCTATCAAAAAGACTAGGGGAGCAGAGTAAATCATCCATAATCATCTCCAGATATGGTTACTTGCCTGAAATTAAATTAAAAGGAATCATTAATCATGTATTGATCTATATCAAGACTGATTCCATGAGTCAGTCTAGGCTGAATTTGTTTGATCTGCTAACGAGTCCATTGCTTAAATTAATGGCTGCTCAATTGACAGCCTTGATGACCAGCCAAAATAGTTTTAGCTCAGACATCACAAAGCAAAAAATATTAGAGAAAAATTCCAAAGAATGGGGAAAATCGGAGAAAACTATAAAACCAAGACTTGGGAAATTATCGAGATTAATTTTTATGGACAACAATTCCTCTAATTGTTTTCCAACAGTACCTTTTCATGATTGCTAAAATAATATACACCTAATATCATTTTATAACTAAAGACTCATTTGTAAAGGTTAACTTAAAGAT